AAGCTAGTAAGAGCAGAGAGCAGAACAGAACAGCAGAGCAGCAGAGCCAGAGCAGTAGGGCACCGTCCTCAATTAATTTGAACCGTGTAGCGCAGGCACTAGGCAGGCAGACGCGACGCAAAACAAATGTGAAGGGAGAGGAACGAATGAAACGGAATGACGAATGAGGAAGCTTCAATAATAAGGAAATTTGTTTTTCCTGAACTGAACTGAAGTGACAGACTGGATCGAGTGGAATTTTTATTGATAAACATTGATTATATATGCACAGCACAATATGGTTATAATCCACTCATACTCATCTCTATGAATGTACATAGTCAAAAATTATGTTTAATGGATTAGATTAGAATGAATCTATGGCAATAATAATAGTCAATATATTTTCCTGTGGTCGTTCTCAACAATAGCCAAGTAACTGAGTAGATGTAATATAATGCGCGTCATCAGTCTGATGTAACCGGTTTGATAATTTATTTTAAGGCTTTTAAAACTGGGCCAAGCTGTCCTTACCAGCTGTTAGTAGAATAAAAGCCTACACGAATAAGTATGTTTCGTTTTATCTAAATAGAATTTACTGATACCACACGCTTACTTAGTATTACCATTCTGCATATAAAACCAAGCTGTTGTCTAGTTCATTCTACTCTTCCTAATGGTCCTGGATAATGAAACAGTTGATCTTTGTTTAGTCGGTTTCAAACTACACCTACGAGATCTCACACCATTCTACACTCATCTTTCATTCATATTTTTTTGGTTGAAAACATCGATGTAATACTCTACATCGATGTAGAGTGTTATATACATCGATGGTTAAAACATGCTCCTATATAGGTTGCGTCCCCATCTCAATTGATGATTATGATCATGTACGACGCCAACACTCCAATGAGCGTTTTAAGGTTGCTGTTGCTGAATTATGTCGAGCGAGATAATTCTGAATGTTGGTATTTGGTTCTGCCTAAGATCAGGTGTTAGCATTTTAGCCAGAATCGTAACTATGTACACAATGGGTATACCTTCTTATAAGAACCCAAATGATCAAACAGCAGGGTCCGCAGTTTAAAACAAGCAAAAATAAGTAACTGGCTTTTCTCAGAATCAAATCAGCGACCTTCTAGCTAATTACAAGCATGGTTAATCTACTAAGTGTACCTGTTGCTCGAATTCAAGCAATTAGGAAGTATTATATGCGTTATTTTAAAACGAATAACAGTAATAATTTTTCGATGAAAGTGTCGACTCAAAGATTATGGAAATACTAACGATTTCATAACAAATTGATATAATCCAGATTTCTTATAATTATTTCTTTCAAAACCTGATCTTGTTTTTGAATGTTTTCTACGAATATTTCCCACTCATATCCATCCGCATTAGGTTGCCTATAATAACGATTAAAAAACACATTATTTATATTCTTCTACTTGGTGGCGTTTTATGACTTTCCTATGGTGTTTCCCTAGTTTCCATTCCTTAGACTGGGACGGTGGCGTCGTCCTGTAATCCAGCTACTAGGAGGTAACGAATTGTGGATCCTATAGGCATGCACTGTGGATGTGATACTCCCTGGTTTGGATTAATGTCCGCACTAAGTGGGTACTACGACTACCCGCAGTACTATCCTGATAATTAGACCAAGCCAAAAATGTGGTTCGTATTCCACTATAAACTGTAGGTCCCTTTAGTTGCCATGTTAGTAACTAACAAGACTACAATACAAGATGGCGCCACTCATCCTACACTCATATTTGGGTTAAACTACGCCTGTGCATAGTGGCGTCCTCATCTTAATTAATTGATTGATTGGTTTGTGAATCTTTCAATGATTGATTAAGAAATATGCAGCACAGTGTTAATATAGTTTGTTTTCGTTTTTAATTAAGCCCCTGTCACACGGAGCTGGTTCCAGCAGCTTTAGTTGATTAGTTGCTTGTTCTCCAGCGCGCTAGAAGTCCTGTCAGACGAAGCTGGAGAACTAGCGCTACAACTTACAAGTCTGGGGATGTAACTAACGACACACTCCGTAGGTAACAAAAATAATGTTAGTATTAGAAGTGGTGTTTTGTCAGTGATCAGCCATCATAGAAGTAAAAATTGCCACAAAAAATATATCAATATATAAAAACACTATTATTTTGTATCTACTACGGTCATGTAAATTAACTAATTACAATCGAATAGATTGTGCGAATAAGTTGTGGTAGGCATATAACAAAAGGACTTTATCTTTCATCAACACAAAAAATCACATTCATTTAACTACTGTATCATAAGTGAGATGTAGCAACGAGAAAATTATGACAATGCATGAACAAATTTCGAAACATGAAATTTTAAATTTATTCTTGATTAGTTTAAATGTAATCAATTAATTGAGTGGAACGAGCGAAGCTCTTATACGTCGACTCTTATGCATTTCGTAATACGCAAACTCCTCCTAGACGGCTGAATCAACAGTTTTCAAATTTTGCATAAAGATAAAGACCATATCGGTGAGTGCTAACATTTATATAGCGTTAAAAAAGTCTCTCAGGAATTCGCCCCACTGGGTCTCAAAGTTTCAATGTAATCCTTATGGAAGCAGTATTTGACACATAAATAAATACCCCCGCCGCAGCAAACCTGCAGACTAAGCGAATTTCCATTTGGCTGATTGGATTTATACACTAAAATGTCTCCTTAAAAATATCACATTTATTCCCTATTTAAATAGAATCAGTTTAACACATACTTAGGTTTGCTGCAACAGGGAGGGTAAAAGTGTTTTTTATGTAAAATGTTAATAGTTAGTAAGAAATAAAAACATTTTCAAAATTTGGGCAAAATATGTTAATAAACAAGCAAACTATAACAGTTTACTTATTCTCCATAAGAATAACATGGGAATTTTAAATTAACAATTTTTGGAATTTTCTCCGTAACCATTAGGCACGTTATAACGCTTCAATATACTAAATTATTTGTTTTTTTTAAGCTCTACAAACAAGTTTGGAAAGAAATTGCAAAATTTTATGTTTTTTGGGTCAAAAATTGGAAAAACCCATTTTTACCCCATAAAAGCCCCCATAAACCCCCGTTCCCATGGTCCGATCATGCTGGTTCGCGAACTCGTTCGAATAAACGTTGGTTTACACGTTTGTACCAAATTTCATCAAAATCGGATCATTTTTGCTCGAGTTATCGCGCTAACGGACACACACATATATATATATATATATATGAATTTGAACGGATGGTGTTTTTGGCCTCTAGGGACCTCAAAACGAAAAAAAAAATCGGTCCTGGGTCCAGGTCTTACCATGAGTACTACGGTAATAGCTTATTCCCTATATGGGAAATTCGCTAAAACATATGATCAGCTGTTGACTTTTGAATGCAGTAGATAAAGAAATAGCTAGTAGCATTAATTCACAGATATTAGAACAGAAACGGTATGGATCATAAATATAATCAAATGACGACACTAACTTTAGGTCCGTGACGTAGGAAGTGGTGAAGGAAGTAGTAATGGTGAGCAGTCTGGAAACTATTTATGACGATTAGATTTAGGTATCAGCATTCCTAAAATTCTATGGGAAGGGAGGAAAACGGGTCCGCGACGTAGGAAGTGGTGAAGGAAGTAGTCATGGTGAGCTGTCCGGAGTGTGGGTACTGTTTATGACGATTAGATTAAGGTATCTGCATTCCTAAAATTCTATGGGAAGGGAGGAAAACGGGTCCGCGACGTAGGAACTGGTGACGAAGTAGTCAAGGCGAGCTGTCCGGAGTTTGGAAACTGTTTATTACAGTTAGATTAAGGTATCTGCATTCCTAAAATGATATGGGAAGGGAGGAAAACGTGTCCACGACGTAGGAAGTGGCAAAGGAAGTAGTGAAGGCGAGTTGTTCGGAGTGTGGGAACTGTTTATGACGATTAGATTAAGGATTCTGCAATCCTAACATGCTATGGAAAGGGAGGGAAGGAGCTCTTATACGTCGACTCTTGTGCACTTTACACTTTACAACTTTGACATGGGATTTGGGGACAAGTCAAGGTGCCACCCTGACAACATACCGCAAACAAAAAGTTGAGGTACGGTAGCTCGTTGTTGGTGAAAACTCACCACCTTCCTGGAAGGTGGAACCTTGGAGGGGGCAAGACATGGATATAAACACAGTAATTAGTGTTGTTATTTATATCTATAGTCCAAGCAAGTCAACTCACCTGCCACCTCAACATATAGGCCAACCCCGTAAATGGATTTTTAAATTACTTCACATTTACTACAGTCAAAGGCGAAAAACATGTAAAGGCCTATAATAAACATTATGACTTTAAATACTGTTGATTGTAATGCTGCTTAAGTGTTTGTAACACTGAAGAATATGTTCTTTGATTTGACCACTAACATAGCGCCACTTATAATCGTGGAGCATGTTTCCCGCCATGATATTTATTTAAGGCTTTGGTACCAGGGCTTTTTGTTAGTTAAATCAACAGGAAAGTAATAGCTTGATGCGAGTTATGATCAAGATGGCATGTCAATGGCTGTCTATCTGCGCTAAAGAGGTTAATTAATAATTAAGCTATAAAAATAGTATCACTCAACTTGTTTTCAATTAGACTGAAGTAGTGCGTCCTGTAGCCATCATTGTCATTCCATGTACCTAGCGGAAAATGAGGCCCTGCCCTTGTAAAATGTGATTATCTTATTATCTTGACTTTTCTTGTCAACACAGTTCAATTCAAAACAAACCAGAATGTAAAAAAAAAAAATTGTAACCATAATAGACTGCCCTTGTAAAATGTGATTATCTTATTATCTTGACTTTTCTTGTCAACACAGTTCAATTAAAAACAAACCAGAATGTAAAAAAAAATTGTAACCATAATAGAATATTACAAACAAAAGAAGGCAAAATAAAAACCTGGTCACACATGTATAAAATTGTATATATGAAAATTTCTTAACAACTATTGATACAAACATGACAGGCAACAAGTTAGTATAAGATGAGGTTAAAAAAATAATTTAATAAAATGCTCAATTCGGTAACATATTAAATATTTTTACAAAACGTTTCAAATCAATAAATATAGATGATTGATAAATGCTATGATGTCTATTGCTCATCTTTTTCTTTAGCTCCGTGCTTTAAGATACGAGTGAACTCAATGTAGTCGAACATTCCACTCTTGATAGGTGCTTCCCTGTACATCTCATCAACCTACAACAAAAACATCAAATTGTTGACCCATGTAATAGGATAATGTAATAGAGATGTAATAGGACTGATAAAGTTGTGGCACACACAGCCTCAACACACAGTGCACCAACAATAATTCTTATCCAGAACAGCCCTAGCACATTTAGAGGCGGTTCACGAGTACGGGGTTTCGTGGCCCGTGGTTATCGTTGATCTCGACCAATTTTAACCGACTGTCAAAAAATGGGTTCACGACATAGAGCGTTAGCCGAGATCAAGCTTAGCCGAGACCAACGCTGGCCGTCGATCAAGAGCAGGGATTAACTGGGAAGTTTCGTTGGGAGGTTGGCAACAGCCACCTGCCAGGCCGCTGCTCGCGGTTGACGAGCCCCAAAACAATAATAGGATGACGTTGCGTCATAATGATTGATTCATAAATTATAATTGTACAGGGTATTTACTGATATAGTATAAAAGATTGTGGACTTGAAATTAAATTCATTTTATACTAAAGTTTAAAGTTACTCAATTTGTCATTGAATTTTGAATAATACACTATTACTGAATACATTGCATCGGGAAAATGCAATTATGTTAAAAAAAATTTTAACAAATCTTGGTAATGTTTGCAATAAAATTAGGTTACCAATTATGTTCAAAAATAAGACATACTTTATCAGGTTTGCAGTTTTATCCAAACGTTCAAATTATTTAATAAAATGACTGTTGTTTTCCAAGATTTATGATTATCTTTTATGTATCAGTAATTTGTATAAAAAATCTATTTGGAGGAACAACTGGCTATTATAGGAGCCGAGATGCCTTCATACGTAAACAGTATTAAACGTAAATATAAAATGGCAAACCTACAATAACATTTTATGACACCAAGATCTTTTAAAGCTGTTCACAATTGGGGCCAAAAACAGCAGGCCTAAGAACTAAACCCTTTGCATTTGCGCGCGTCAGACGGGTAGAACGCAGTCCAATAAGCATGAGAAAACAGGTGTGAGAAAACAGGTCATAATTTAAAAAATATTTTGTTATAATACAATGTTTTATATATTTAACTACAGAATTTATCTTTTACCTCAGCAAATTGAAGCAATTTATTGTAAATCCCGATATGACAAATATTAAGACATTATCAGATGAAAATAACAAAATGTTAAATCATAAATATAATAATATAAACATATAATTAAATACCCCCGCCGCAGCAAACCTGCCGACTAAGCGAATTTCCATTTGTCTGAATTGATTTTCAGTTAAATATATTTTAATAACATTAGGTTTAACGAGTACCTAGGTTTGCTGCTACAAGGAAACTAATAAAGTATGTTTTTGAGTAAAATATTGATAGCTTAGTACAAAATAAATAAATTTGCCAAGTTTGATCAAAATATATTCATAAACAAGCAAACTACAACATTTGACAATATTCTCCATAAGAATAACATGGGAATTTTAAATTTACAATTTTTTTAATTTTCTCCGTTACTAATAATCGAACAAAAATACTTTTATATACTAAATTATTTGTTTTTTTAAGCTCTTTAAAAAGGTCTAAAGAGAAATTGGGAAATTTTGTGTTTTGAGGGTCAAAAGTGAGAAAAACCAATTTTTACCCCATAAAACCCCCCGTAAAGCCCCGTTCCCATGGTCCAATCGTGCTGGTTCGCGAACTCATTCAAGTTTATCCCGCTTTACACCTTTAAACCAAATTTCATTAAAATCGGACAAAAATTACTCAAGTTATCGCGTTCACGGACGTATATATATATATCCTACTAATATTATAAATGAGAGAGTTTGGATGTATGGATGTATGTTTGTGACAAGTGAACGCGAAAAATACTGGTCGGATTGGGCTGAAATTTGGCATGATGATAGCTCACATTCCCGATTAACATATAGGCATATTCTTATTTCAAAAATCCTTTCGGGCTCCACCCCAGTGGCTCTGGAGTTTCCCATGATAACCTTATGAGAAATGGAATTATTGAATCTTAACAGCTGTTTCAATTAAACAAGTTGGTTCTGTTCTATGATGTTCAATAGCATTAAAGTTACAAGGATTACCAACAGGGTGCAGCACTATTATTTCTTTTACATTTATGACAACAGCTAATTTGCAACCAAAAGGTGAGTGAGCGTAGCGAACGAACTTCAACCTGGAGGCGAGTTAGCGTAGTGAACAAGCTAACCTGAAGGCAAGTGAGCGCAGCGAACGAGCTCCAACCTAAAGGTGAGTGAGCGTAGCGAACAAACTTCAACCAGGACGTGATTGAACCATGCGAACGAGATAGGCTAATCTTGAAAATTAAGAAGTTAAACGGGGCAAAGCCCGCGGGTTACAGCTAGTATATATATATATAAGTCTATATATATATATATACATATATAAAAATTTGAACGAATAGTGTTTTTGGCCTCTGGGGACATCAAAATGAAAAAGTAAATTGGTCCCGGGTCTAGGTCTTACCGTGCCACCTACGGTAATAGCTACTTCCCTATAGGGAAATTCGCTAAAAATTGGGAAATTTTGTGTTTTGAGGGTCAAAAGTGAGAAAAACCAATTTTTACCCCATAAAACCCCCCGTAAAGCCCCGTTCCCATGGTCCAATCGTGCTGGTTCGCGAACTCATTCAAGTTTATCCCGCTTTACACCTTTAAACCAAATTTCATCAAAATCGGACAAAAATTACTCAAGTTATCGCGTTCACGGACGTATATATATATATATATGTCTATATATATATATATACATATATAAAAATTTGAACGAATAGTGTTTTTGGCCTCTGGGGACATCAAAATGAAAAAGTAAATTGGTCCCGGGTCTAGGTCTTACCGTGCCACCTACGGTAATAGCTACTTCCCTATAGGGAAATTCGCTAAAACATCCAAAAAATGTTGGATACTCAAATAAAATGACCTAGGCCTATGTTTTATATAAATTGTATGGAGGAACAAAAATTGTACTAATTTTGTACAATAAAAATTCTTAGACAAACCTAACAGTGTTTGATGGAACCATTTTTATTTTGATATTATTCAGCTGAAATAAAAGGGTTCAAAATTGCTAAAATTAATATAAAACATAAGATTCGATTGCAATTTAAATTTATATGAATACGTTAAGCTATTAGTTATATTTTTACTTAGTAATAATGAATTAAAATGTCTCAACAGCTACTTTTTACGAGTTTTGCATGTTTTCGGCAATTAGTAGTAAAAAAATTTAAAAAAATAAATATCATGTTGAGGGTAATGAAATTATTTGGAATTTAATGGCGAATCCGAATATAACATTCTTTTTGCTAACAAAAAAACAATAAACGAGCAAATGAGATAATCCCGACATGATGTCAACTTAACCCTGCCCCCTAGCAGGGTTAAGTTGAAGGCCAAAACCATTGTTATTTACGCCCGAGATTATCCAGTTTGCGCTAGACCATGACTCGTGAACCCGACATTTGGCCCGGGGTTTTCTCTAATTGAACCCGTGAAGCTGACTTTTTGCGCTCGGGTTTATCCCTGTCATAATTGGGTGAAGTTTATCTGTCTGCGCCCGAGCGCGGGTAACCTCGTACTCGTGAAGCCGATTTCTAAGCCGACTTCTGGCTATAACTGGATTTTGCGCTCGAACTAAGGATAACCCGTGACTCGTGAACCGCCTCTTAGCATCTCTTGCAAAGCTGGAGATCTTATGAAACAGGTATGAGAACACACATGATCCGAATACACATGAAAGGTTCCAAAAAACACACAAGAGCTTGGTTGTTTATGCTGCTTAGGTTATTTTTTTTAGTTTGACCTGATACATCTTAAGATCTACAACTGAATGTCAACAATGTATTTAAAAAACAATATTAAGTTCTTTTCTCAACTTGATCTCTATCATGGTATAGTATCTTTATCGTGGTTGACTCCATTACATTCTGTTGCCAAACAAGGCAGGGTCACTTTAATAAATAAACCCAGGGAGTCAAGAGGTTTTAGGTTCTTTGGGGGCACAAGGAAGAGGAGAAATCCCCCATTAAGGCAGGAGGAGAGGGACGAAATCATTCCTAGGGCGCATGGCGAATCACATGTTTAAACCGCAGGCTTGAAGCCAGTCCTACTATCCTCTACAAGCAGCCATTTAGTTGCCTAGCTGATTTTGGTTTTGGATGACCATGGTTTCACCTTAACAAAATATCGTTAAAAGGTAAAACTATTTCCTGAGCCAACCTTAACCAAGGGGGAATTTCCACTTGGTAACCTCATTTTCCAATTAATTAGAATTTTCAATAGATTTGGTTGACCCAGATAGGGAAAACTGTTTCCTGCTATACTTACATCTTCATCGGAGAACCTGTCTCCCATGCTGATGAGGAGTTCCCTCAGACGTTCCTCGTTGATATAGCCGTTGTTGTCCTCGTCAAAACAGCCGAAGGCGTTCTTGATGACATCCTCAGGGTCAGTCCCCTGTAGCCGCTCGCCGAACAGAGTGAGGAACATGGTGAAGTTGATGGGACCAGGGGCCTCGTTCATCATACCCTCCAAGTACTCGTCTGTTGGGTTCTTGCCTTGAAATAAAGGAAGGTTTAAGATTACTGCCGTAGATGTTTAAAACTACAGGATAGAGAATGTCTCATAGTCCAATAGAAATTTTAATAGCAGTTAATAACAGCTATTTTGTAGGTATTCCATAGTAATTTGGCAGCATTACAAATTCCCTCAATCACATATTAGTACTTACTTACTTGCTTATTAGCGTTAGCTGTAACCTTTTTAAGCAAAAATGTTGACTTGCACTTTACTTGAGAAGTATAGGCTAATTATTTAGTACTCTTATTTTCGTTCTTCTTTTTAATCAATTCGTTCCAAGCACAGAAAGGAGTTTAATACAAAATACTTGGCTAAAAAAATGTGCTTGTTTGGTCATGGGATTGGATGCCTGCCCAAGCTTGTACCATCCAATCTTTTTTCACTAACTAATTGGGAGTCAATGAAATACATGTAATAATAAGCTGAAGCTTACTTGTTGACTTGTATTTAAATTTAGCCTTCTAATTGTTATTATACCCTACATGCTTCATATCTGAATGAGTAAGTACTGGTAGTAAAAATACAGACAGCGTGACAAATTTTAAAATAAAAAGTCAATAAGTTACCTACATGTCTAATAATAAATTAGGCATTTTTGTTGCAGTATTTTTTACTAAATAACAACTGTTTTGTATGTAGTTAATTAGGCCTAACCTTTGCACAAAACTAAAAACAGAAACAACAGGAAAAAGAAGTAATTGTATAAGTTAGGCATAGAAATAAACCAAACGTCTAAAGCAAAATCTAGAACAAATTCTTGTGCAGGATCTGTTTTAATTATCAACCGATTTTTACAACTTTGGTTCTATAGTTTAGTATTTTTTAGCTTCCTAGCAATACTTGTATTTCCATAAAACTTTGGCTTAGTAAAAAATTACTGCCATAGGCCTACCAAAGTAACTTATTTTGTACCACGTTATTTTGGGGTAGGTACCAGAACTAACCCCTACCAACAACTACAGCCCTCTTCTTTCCATGTTTATTGGATAGGCAAGTTAACATGGAAAAAAATCCAAAGTAAAGATATTAAAAAAATTAAATTAATAAACTTCCTCCTCAGTCAAACCTGTTCAATACTTCAAATTAGTCTTCTATAAACAATACTTTTGCTGTTGTAAAACCATAATCTCAAAAAACATAGGGATAGGCCTAACTTAAAACGTAAAACATGAGGAGTTATATAACTAAATATGTGGTACGGAGGCGCACCAACAATTAGATGATGCCTTACATGAAGGAACTTTCATAATAGAGGATCATTGTCAAAGCTGAAGTCTCATGATCATGCTAATGTTAGGTACCGTATATATCTTTCAAGTACAGGAAGGGACAGAAAAAGAGGTAGGCCTACCTATGTCTCTGCAAACCTACTCCGGTGTAAAGTCATATCACTTAGAAATTCTATGTGATGATAAAGTAGCCAGATCATCCATGTGAAGGGTCAAATGATGAAAACTATAACTTTTTAAGATGAAAAATTAACTGTTTTGTAACAAAGGTCTTACCAAGAGATGCAAGCATATCATGCAGGTCCTCCTTGTCAATAAACCCATCTCTGTTTTGGTCGATCATGTTGAAAGCTTCTTTGAACTCCTGTATTTGGGCTTGATCAAACATAGCAAACACATTAGAAGTAGCCCGCTGGGCCCTCTTCTTGGTGGTGGCTCTACGACCGGCTGACTTTCTGGAAGACATTTTGCTGAAAGAATAAGAATGGGTGAACGAGACTGGTTTTTTATTAGGTATAAATAACATTCAATTCCTCGGCCAGGATAGCTTGAGGTGTTGTTAGGTGGCGTCCGATCAGGGTTGCCACCCATCCCTATTCTGCCAGGACAGTCCCAATTTTGTTCCTAATGCCCGTATTTAAGCCTATGTTAATCCGGAGGGAGGGGGGAAATGTCCCAATTTTTCCCTAACCTAAGGTGGCAGCCCTGCGTCCGATAATTGAATCCTTGGAACAAGGGTCAATTACCTTATACCTAATCCAGTGATTCCAAAACTCTTTTTCTTGTAGGCCTATCGGTACTTAAATTTTATCACTTGACAAAACAAAAATAGTTTGCATACACCTGGAGGTGAATTTAGAGTACCGGTAACTTATTATTCATTACCGGTATTTAAAAAGTGGCGTCCCCATCTTAAATAATTGATATAAAATTGAAAGCCAAACTAGGCCCTACCCTAACTTTTAAGTGGAATTTGAAAGGTGGACCTAATTCTAAATAGTACATGGAAATTTTACAAACTGATACTTTTAAGGAATACATGAGTTGCTACTTACTTAGACTACTGTTTGTTGAAAATACAAAACATCTGAGTTGAAGTCTCGATCATTTTCGAATTAGGGTCGAGTTTATCAAGTAGGATAGGCCTCTACTTTGGCAATAGATAAAATATGTACCCTGAGGAAATGAGTTAGGCCTACTGAGCACTAGGTGCAATTGTTACATTTATGTTACTGGTGTTGCTTTAACCCTCCAAAGGTCCATAGTTTAGGCCTTAATGTCCACCTATTTTTGGCCCCTTTGCAAGGTTTTATTAAAACGGATCTGAGAAGCTTAAAACAATGTTAATTCTAATGTTCTATATACCATTTTGTTTGGAAAATCATGGGCTTCAATATTATATATAAAACATAAGGAACATTTAAAAAAAAAAATTTTTAGGTAAAAAAAAATATAATTTCGAAAATTTTCAAAAAAAAAAAAAAGTTTGCGCTCAATGAAATTGTATAAATTATAGGCCTATAAATATTTGAAAATAGCCACTTGTTCTAAATTTAATGAGGATTACAAATATATAATCATATAGCGAGGTAAGTTATCAAATAAATAAGTTATGAGCGAAAAACGGATTTCAGTACATAGCGTTTAGCTAAGAATGCATAGCCTAACCATAGCTAGGAATCTGGCTGATAATTTACATCAATATCACTACCTACTTCTTCAGGATCATCAACCAGCACTTCAAAACCACTTAAATCTTCTTATAATGCACCACGTATATCACTACTTTTGATTTTTAACACTAAAACAATGATAAACATAATAAAACACATCAGTTATCGGTCCGAGGTTAAGTAACCTGTTTACTAATATGCACGTCAGCTGTCTGCTACAATTACGATCGGCTCAGAGAACAAACAGCGCTTAGAGACAGACCTTTAGAAAGCTTAGAATCTAATGAAAAGAACGATACCTAACTCGATCCAGTTCAATCCGATCAGTCAGTCATAGAGCCTTCGCCGTAAACGATGTTTGTGCGTCTAAAAATAGACGCGTGACACTACACAAAGTGTGTTATGCGTCTATTTTTAGAAGCGTGACCTTCGGAGGGTTAACTAAGGAGTGATATTACCGGTATATTTCGAGTCAGACACTTTAACCAACAAAACAACCTAAACCTCGATCATACGTTTTGCTCTTTTAACTCAGTTGCCATGAACTAAGTTAATGTTTCAAGTTACCTGTCCCAAAAATCCTAAAATAAATTACCTTACTCATACTTGACCATCACCTCGTAAGTTAGGCAGTTAGTCTAGGCCTAAGTTACCATGGGCTACTAAGTACAGCAGAGGTCTCAGCGTACGCCTACAACCTTAACCCAACCTTGACTCAAACATTGAATAGGCCTACTTAGTGATCTAAACCTAATGTTTTGAATGTTTAACATAGTACCTAAAGGACTAGATTATGCTAAATATTTACAAGATACCAACTTAAGTTAAGACGTAGGGTATGTTAACTTAAGTTAAGTGAGGTTCAATCAAGGAACTGCAGGTGATTTAGCATCTTGAAGTTTAAATCAAACTGTCATGGTGTGTGAAATAATTTACTAGGCCTATATTGAGCAGGCCTAGGTTCCATTTATTTTCAGTAGCCTAGGTTCTATCGATATCCCAAGTGGTTGGTAGTAAGTATGCTATGTTTCAAAATGTAAATTTCAAACATATTTTAACATTTCTTTAACTAATTCGTTGAATAAGTTAGTGACTCATGATTCTTACAAATCTCCACGTTCTTAGTCGATGAAAAATAAATTCCTTGACTAAGCAATAATCAAGGCTGAAGCTATTGTAGCTTCTGGGCTTATGAAATCTGCTCTAAAAACACCAAATAAGACAACGAATCGCCAACCTTTGATTTGTTCAGAAAATCTCTCAACTTTATTAAAATGTCTAAGGCTAGAACAATAATAGAATTAGAGGAACATACCTTTGTGACGTCAATAGATATTTGACAACTCCAACTCGGCCAACACCTACAGCTTTTTACTGATGAATCAGATTCTTTCACAGCTGAGGTTATGGTATCCAGGTTCTGTACAGTTCTACCACACTATTGTCAAACATACGCTATAGAATCTGTTGTGAATAAAGCCCATTAACCGAAGAAAAATGGAACTAAAATGTAAATGTATGTATAAAATTCTGTATAAAAAATTATTTATCGAATAAATTGTGAAAATATGAGGAGATGCTGCAAAATTGTTACTGAACCAGTAAAACTTTGGTTGGCATTCCTGAGAGTAAAGAAGCGGTTCCATTGGTCAGTCCTCTTTACGAATCACCTTGGTTGGTTTCACGCGGTAAATTCAAGTTATAAATTTTTAAATCAAAACCATTTTCAGTAGTTGGCAATGTATATTTTCGTATCACAGTCAAATATTATCAATCTATGTATACCAAAAAACAAAATCTATTGTTTTCCATTACTTACTAATCGATATTTGTCACATTTCGGGCGTTTTCTTGCACATATGGCTCCTCTTTCCATTGGTCTACTTAGTGGATTTCTCTCATATCCATAAAAGGTAATGTTCTTCAAGCAGCTGGCAAGGTCCTATAATAGTTGTACTTCAGACATTGCCTTATACCGAGAGATTGCAAACGAAATTTCACCAGTGTGGGCTGAATGCAGATACCCTTTTCATTAAATAACTCTTACACTGTTATTTGTTTCCAGTAATTATTTTTGTATTTTATTTTTTGTGTTTTTAGGCCAGTGGCCCAGTGTTTGCATTAATGGCATTTTAATGAGTCCCATCATTCCCTTTCTTTTTCCACTTGACTAAACATAGTTTGAGTTAGTATAGTTTTATATATCACATTGGCTTCAATGCTTCATTTCATTTCATATTTAACTTTATTCATTTAAGTACAATACATAAATAAAGGAATGGCGTCAAGAGTAATTTAATAAAACCAACTTAACTACTCATAATCATATAATAACTCATAATCATGTATGGCGTAACAACATACTATGAATATTAATAGCCTTTAAGATCAAATAAAGTAAAACAAGCAGTGCAACATGAAAGTTTATACATGAAAATATCAAAATTAAAAAATAATAGATGAAATTATTTTAAAATCAAAAGTTTTAATTTAAATGAAATAAAGCAATTAATAACTTATAGAACTAAAACCCTTCAAAGGAGTACATTGTTGTAATTCATTAGGCCTAAATCTGTCTTTGACTGGTAATACTGTTTCATAGACATACAGTACATTCCATAAACAGTCATAATATTTTCAGTTTTAAAATGTTCCTTGACTGAAGTTCTGCGTTTTAAATTGCATAAAATTCTAACAGCTTTCTTTTGCTTTTTTAGAATTGATTAGAATTTTTGCTGCACCATAAAGTGAAGTTTCAAATGATATGATTGAATGTATTTATGAAAAATATATAATTTTTAAAGTTTCCTTTTCACATAGGGGTTTTAATCTTGTTAGTGCATAAAGGCCAAATGAAATTTTAGGAAGCAACTGATCAATATCTTTTTGATGGTTTGGAACTGTACCCAGCTGTCTTTGATCATGGGATCCTTGGTTTTTTTTAATGGCCCTTGCTAAAGAAACAGCTGATCTTCACAGATCAACTGATCAACACTTCAATTTTTTTTCAATTTCTAATCCTAAGAATTTGATGTGGTCTTTATTTTTAATTGTGTTGTCAAATTAAAAACTGAGGGGTGATAGATTTTGATTGAACACTCAAATCATCATCAGACCCATAGGCGAATGTCTGATGGGTCTATTGGGTCTGATGATGATTGGAGTGTTAAATCAAAATCGATCACCCCTTTTCATCTTTTATATGTATTTAACGCCTTGTGAGTAAACAGTATAAGTGTAAAGTAAATATATTATTATAAGTGTTATTTGACGTATCATTTGTGCTTTCAGGTTTGTATGTACAAATTGCATTAAATATTTTTCATAGTAATAGTAATACAGTTTAAAATTTAGTTGCAGTTTTAGTATCAGACTGACAAATTTTGGACTAAACTGCATAGTAAATAATTATACATTGACTAAAAAAAAAAAATTAACAATACTGGCATTGAAACACTTAACAAAATGTACAAACAACCTGAGAAAAATTTCCAATTTTCTGGCTTTCTCCTAACCTTCCACCCATTTCAGACACTCAAAATTGTATACATTTTTTCAAAACATTATTTGAACAGTTTACTTATAATAAAATGTAGATTTAAAAATATTTAATCAGATGGAGACTTTCACTTTGGATATTTTTGTTTACTGATTGTGCCATACACTTCCAACTCATTTTTCTTCACACTAAGACTTTCAAGAATAGGTTATGACTGCGAGAAAATTGCTTTTCAAGTCTCCAATCTTTTTAAATGGTTATGGCTTTCTTACTACACCTCATAAAGAAGTGAATGAGGGACATAACAATGTTTCTTCCGAGTTAAAACTTTCTCGTTTAACTCTGCCATCAAGAAAGTGACAGACAATAGACATCGTTCTTTATATTTCTAAATTCTTGAGTTCTAGCTAATTCTATAACTAACACCTTATGTGCCCCACCTCCAAGATGAGTTGTTTGAGTTATTGTTGGAGTATAGAACACCATGAATGTCTAACAAGCTGTGCAACCTAGGAAATAAACTGGGAATTAATACACTATAGGGCATCCAGTGTGTAAAAACATACTTGGTACAAAACTTGAGAGGTTTCATCTGCCTCTTGCAGATCAGGTGGATCGGAGAGGCCTAACTAAAATAAAGAGTGAGTGACTTTCTGATGAGAAGCTACACAAAGGGTTGATTTTTGTGAGTCGTACAACACATTTTCATATTTCATAAGATGTAGAGCACTGTGGTCACTGGTTTGATCCTGAGAAAAGTCTGTAGCTTTTTGATGGTTTGGAACTGTACCCAGCTGTCAGCTGTCTTTGATCATTGGATCCTTGGTTTTTTTTTATAAATGGCCCTTGCTAAAGAAACAGCTGATCTTCACAGAGCTACACAGATCAGCTGATTCCATTCTACACTCACCTTGAATTCATATTCAGTATGTACCACAGTGAAAGGTACCACTTTGCACTGACTTAAGAATTGATAGGAATAATTTTGATGATGGAGAAAATGTGGTCATAATAATTGAATTAATGTAACTTTGGGGAAAGGGTAGTTTGAAAAAAATAATTCAAATACTCTTAAAATAAAAATTTTATCTCCTAATATGTACATAATTACATACACAGTTTCCATACAACTTTATAAAACATTCTTACAGCTCATAACTACAATATACATAAATACACTTTTACAATTACTTATAAATATATTCAATTACAGTTACAAAAGTAGATCACGAGATTTATTTGGTCCATTTACTATTTTGTTAAGTGTCTCATATTTTCAAAATCGTTGCTTAAGTTACAGAGAAAGGTAAAGTTACAAAACAAGTTATGTTCAAAATGTGTCTAGTATAAAAATATGTATTTTTCAACAAAATTAAGATTTAACATAATTTGGTGACAATTCAAGTTTTTTACATGTCAAAACTTGCAGCAATTTAGTTCAACATACTATTTCTAGTGGCAATGTTTCCTAATTGAAAAAAATAAAATTTAATTTTTTTAAACATGTTATTTTGTCTTTATCATTACTTATGATTGAGCATCGTTGATTAAAAATATCTTGAATGCATGCTGGTAGTAGTAGAAAACAAATACTGTAAACATTTTAGCAAATTGACTAATCTAGAGAAATTTTTTTATAAAATCTTCTATCCTCTTTAGGGCCTTACATTGTTCAATAATACTAATAGTTAACTGAAAAGTCATAAAATCATTCACAACAAAGTCGATACTATCTGTAAAAATCACAGATAAAATGTGTTGTTTCACTAACAAACCATTAAAGCTAATTGCTATTTATGTTGTTCAGTTATAGACTCTGTATTCGAGTCAGAACCAGCCTTTGTGTTTTGATCACTGTTTCATGTTCAGTTCACGGCGACTCCATTTATCGTAACCGTCGCTTTGCTACTACGTCTTGAGATCGGTGACGGCTCATAGTGACTCGTCTGTTCGTAAGGTGAGTCGTACATTTCCTCGTTGTCGTGAATGTTGTCGTAAATGTTGTTGTGGTGGTTGGTGGTATTGTTGCTCAGAGTTGCGTAGGACATCACGGCAGCGTTTTGTTCTTCTTTCCGTACAGCGCCTTCAACGTTCTCAGTGTTTTTGACCGGTCTTTCTTTTCTCCTGTTGAAAATAATTTGAATTATTGTAAAGAGTGAACAATTATGATGTTGAATAACAAAAATCTTATACTTTGCTTAAAAAATGCTTTTTGATTAAATTATATATCCAACAAAACCTTAAAGATAAAATTAATATTTTGTATGTTTAGAATTTTAAATCAAAATAATTTTACCAAGAGGAATTGACAAATGAAATAATGATCATAACAATCATATATTTTAATACTTACCTAGTTGAAAAAGTAATTTTAAAATTAAAGGAAAACTCATTTTCATCTTGTAATATATAGACACTTACACAAGCAAAATGGTTTTAATTAGAACAAATCTTAACTTTAAACAGTAATGCAAATTTTCCAAAACCCCACTTTTTCCCAATGAGCAGATATTTTACTATGAGCTGTAAATAACTAATTCTTTAACACGTTCCCTGCTGACCGCTAGATGACGGACGGCACCAGGAGCTGAACTAACGGTCGCCGCTGCGTAAACATTGCCGCCGATACACTGAATTACAGTAAAAACAACAGTAGTCATACTGGATGGGAATGTTCTGCAATAAAACTGGCTTTGGACATAGTACTAAGTGATTCTAATAGATAGCAGCACTACCCAGGCTGCAGTCAGTAAAGTAGTGTCGCTATCTAGCAGGAAAGAGGTGGGACAAAGCCCTATTCTAAACGACCCCGGTGGTGATTTTGAGAAACTATATTTTTATTGTCTGAAAAGTACGTCCCCACGAGCTGCAAAGAAATATAGGACGCTCGTGAGTCGTGACGAGCTGGGTGATCCATGGAAACGTTAAAACAACTATGAACGGGGATG